TGGCGTGGGGAAGTCTACTACTGCGGGTACAGTATGACTTTTCTGATTTAAAAAAGACTATTCGTGTTATTCATTATTATTCATATCGTTCATTTTTTTTTTTTTTTATCTCCAGAGAAAATTAAAACGAACGCTTCTGAGTTTGGTATTGAATAAAAACATTGAGCCAATTATGTTTAAGTTGCGAGTCAGTGGTGTTGAATATCTTTTTTTGTCTTTCTGCAGTAAATCTGGCTCTTGGATTAATGGCCAACGATCCAGTAAGTTAATTTTTTGTCCTACTCATTTTTACATTGTAGCAATTCAGCATTTCAGGCCTTTAAAGTACTGAAACTATATCCCATATAAATCAGTTTATATTGGGAGAAAGTGACACATGTATCTCTGGAAAAATATGCTTCACCTCATTGAACGTTATCTTGGAATTCAGAGTTGGTTATTATTACCACAATGCAACTAAAGTAGTTGGAAGACAGTTTCATCCATGTTAGCTTCTCAAAATGACAAATGATCAGTGAGTTGTCAGTCATTTCAGTCTGATATAAGATATCTCTGTTTCTCCCACAGTCTAAGTCAGTCGGTGTGTTGGATGCTGACGTTCATGGTCCGTCGATTCCCAAACTAATGAACCTAAAGGGAAACCCAGAGCTCAGTGACCGTACGGCAAATTGTTTATCTTTCTCCAATTATCCCTTTCTTTCTTTTTCTTGCTAATAAATGACGCCTGGTCATTGGTTTTGGGTTGAAGCCACATTAAGTCAAGGAGCAGTCAGTTGTCCAGAAGGTTTCTGATAATTTGACCTTCTTCAGCTGTTTTCTCTCTCTCTCTCTCTCTCTCCCAGACAACCTGATGATCCCGCTCACCAACTACGGGATTCCTTGGTGAGTCATTGCAATCGACACATTATGTCCTGATGTCTCACCTATTCACTCTTCATGTTCTGGAGCAAAATAAAATAGCAGCTGGTGCCCGTTGTGTGACTTTCCCCTCATTTTCCCTCTCAGCATGTCCATGGGTTTCCTGGTGGAGGATGTGGCTCCCATTGTGTGGAGGGGGCTGATGGTGATGTCAGCTATAGAGAAACTGCTCAGACAGGTGAGACAGCTTCTCAAAATAGTTAAGACACCCACCTGAGAATGGACAAGAAACTTTAATACATTTTGATGTGTTTTGGGGGTGTGTATGAATGTAGGTGGACTGGGGGTCATTGGACTACCTGGTAGTTGACATGCCTCCCGGGACAGGAGACGTCCAGCTATCAATCACACAGAACATCCCAGTAGCAGGCAAGTATCTCTCTCTCTCTCTCTCTCTCTCTCTCTCTCACACACACACACACACACACTTCTATTTGAAGTGTTACAGAATGTAGTAGAGTTTTCTAAATTCATGGTATCAGCTAGTATGCTAGTCAGTGCATTAGTCCTCATAGTAATTTTTTTAAGCCCCTTTTAAGTCTGACCAGTCTGACAAAATATAATCCGCCTCCTGAAAGTGAAGCCAAAAAATGTAGAGCTCCCTCTGCTGACTGACTGCAGTAAAAGTCATGAACCAGCCTCCTCCTCATTAACAGTTGCCACATGGATCAAACTGTCAAGTTAAATTACACACAAAATGTTTCTCAAATCAGGATTATGTCATTGTATTTATGATAGTTATTAACAGGCTGATTTATGTGTTACTGTTTTGAGATAACTTTAGTTTTAAGTCATTATTTCATAAAGAAAAGAGCGGATGTAATATGCAGCTCCTTGCAGCATCCTCAACAGGTTTGGAAGAGTAAAAGAGGAAATGTATCAAAAATAGGGTTAGGGTTAGTCGTTGAACTTTCCATAAAGAGTCTCTTTTCTGCTGTGGACTGTACTGAGGGATCTGTGACTTTTTTTTATCGTTGAGTTAATTGTGGGCTTTGGTAAGCAGGAGCATGGTGTCAATTCCTCAGCTCCACCAGTCGGAGATGGAGATGGAGACATGTTCTCTATATGATACAGTCAGTGTATTTGGTGCAAAACAGTCGGCCTTCACAGCAGCCTTGCTCTGTGCGACCACCACAGATGGATCTCAATTTGGCTGACACAATTCAATGCATCATTTTCTATAGGGCACTTTTTTCACAAAATTCAAAAAGCACAAGAGCAGGAAAAGCATTTCACCGAACCCGGGACGGTATGAAAAACTAGAATCTAAACAGTAACTGAAGCTGTCAGACAAATGTAGAGAAGTAAAAAGTAAGTTTCCCTCAGAGGGAGAAGAGGTAATGAATTGCATAAAACTTAAATACTCAAATAAGGGTAAATACTTTGAATGCGCGCTAAGGAAATGTATTTGGAAAAGTTCTGTTATACAAAATCCACCGTTGGTGTTTCGTTGTGCAGGTGCTGTTATCGTGTCAACGCCGCAAGACATCGCTCTGCTAGATGCTCGGAGAGGAGCGGAGATGTTCAAGAAAGTTCACGTGCCGGTAATCTTTGTTGTATGAATGTTTGTCAATAAGGAGGCTTAAAGCCCTCAGCTCCTCCTATGTGTTTGAATCAAAGTTAGATTTAGACAAATTTCCCAATATAGCGACTGCTGTTTTTGAGCTTTGAAACTCTGCTTCAGAAACCAACGGGTGACGTCACTGAGACTACGTCCTGATTTATACAGTTTAAGGGGTCCAACACCCATCGACTGTTTTTTTTAATGTTTTTTATACACACATGAACTGAGGTTGGTGTTCCTGCAGGTTCTCGGTCTGGTTCAGAATATGAGCGTCTTCCAGTGTCCCAACTGTAACCACCAAACTCACATCTTCGGCTCTGATGGGGCCCGACAGCTCGCTGACACTCTGGGAGTCCAATTCCTTGGTAGGTACAGAAGCAGCAGCTCGTTTTAATAGAGAAGACAGCAGGTTTTTTTCAGTTTGTGGAGTAACATTGTAACTTACTTAATAAATACTGCATAGGTGTGATCATCTGTCTCAAGAGGTGCCACTCATCTCTTATTCCCCTGTTATGCCAAAACGATGAGCATGGTTTAAGGGATTTATTGTAGTCGAATAAAAATCTTTCAGCTGTAATTTCCTTTTTACACTTCTCTGTCATTCTCCAGGTGACATACCTCTTCATCTGAACATCAGAGAGATGTCAGACAGAGGGACTCCAGTGGTCATCTCCTCCCCAGACAGTCCGGAGGTATTTTTTTATTTTTTATTCTTCACTATTTTTTTTAATTGAATTCAATACTTTCCTGTTTATTGTTGACTTTTATTTCTGTTTTTGGCATTCCTGGGGCCCGTTTCTGAAAGAAGCTTCAACAAACCCTCAGTCTAACCCTGATTTACTCTCAGATGGGAATCTCAGATTTTTTCGGTTCCAGATCAGCAGATTTCAGTTTGTTAAATCAACTCTGAGTAGGTCCACTCGGTGTTCAGCGCGTGCACCACGACGATAAAAAGCCAACATGAACGGAGCCCCGATTCTACGATTCACCATGGCAACAGGTGACAAAAAAACAGATCCTCCTACTTTCGATATAACCATTTCGATATATAGCCTATCTTCATGTGGACATACGGCGAATATGAACAGAAGAAGGAAAAAAAGGAACACTGCTTCAGCGCAGCAGCAAAGGAGAGAAAAGTAGTGTAAGAGAAAACAGCTGCTCACGTCAGTGCGTAGTCTATTACTAATTTAATGTTCAATCAGAATTATAATATTGCAGATCAAAACTGGTGGAATTGTATTAAACCTACAATTTATTTTCATTAAGATGTAATCCAGCGGAAGAAAAGCGACTTTAAAACAGCTCAAAATGAAATATAAGAACATACTAGGCTCCTATAGCCTAGATTTAAAGTTAACTTAATTCAGAGTCTATTTGAATGTGCATTAACTTTATCCCCAACATAGGCTAATGCTGTATTCACACCTATGATTCACACACATAGGCTAGGCTAAATATCCTCTCACCATTATCCCGTTTAGTTTATTAATTAATTAGAGCCTACATTAACATCTCCTGACGTTAATGTAGGCTCTAATTCCCTGCGGAGTAATGCAGTCCCTTCATGCCGAGGCTTAAAAGACTGTTCAAAAAAGGTTCGTTTTATACGCCGTAGTAATGCCTACCTCACGTATCGTATTTAAAACAACCTGGATTTTTATTCAGACAAACGGTGAATCTTCACTAACACGCGCGTGATACGGAGCGAATGTAGAATGAGGAAATGAAGCGGCGTTTCTGGCTCTGAAAGAGGGAGGAGACAGAGAGAAACTCTGGGATTCACTGAAGGAAACCTGCTCCCGACCAGGTTAGGATCACAGACTCAGTTACCATAGTAACTGACTCCGAGGTAAAGTTACCTCCCTCTCTGGAACGGGCTGGAGTTACCCCCTGCACAAAACCTTCATTCAGAAACGTGCCCCTGGTAGTGACAGTTCCTTGTGTTTATTTGTATTTTTAAACAAACAGATTGTTCCTTACTCTCGCTAAGTACTTTAATCAGCATATTTGTGTGTGTGTGTGTGTGTGTGTGTTTATTTTGCAGGCTGAGGCATACAAGAAGGTTGCATCTGTTGTTGTCCAGAGACTTGAAGAAGTCAATACCTGATCTGCATTTCCAACAGGAAGTCAGCTGGTTTGACTGTGATGACTGTACACTTTTTAAAACAAACAATATACAACAAACACGTAAAAAAAAAAAAAAAAAAGACATCTACAAAACACACACAGTAGTAACACATAAAACACCTTCTCTGTCGTAAACGCACAATAAGTTGAATTCAGGAGCACAGTTAGTATACTGTGTATAAGCACTGCAGTATTATTGAATGAATGTGAATCAATATGTGATTATATTTAATAAAACAGTGAGCTCAAAAGCCTGTGTGTTCATTATCTTCTAATTAACACATTTTAACCATTATAATAAATTGAATTCCATTTGGGATGATAAATATAACTTTTTTTTTTTTTTTTAAATATGGTAATTTCTTCCAGCTGACGCCGACATTACTGTAAGCGCGCACACCGGAAGTGAGCTGCAGTGTCTCGACTCTCGGATCAGGCAGACATGGCGTGTTTGCTCCCGAGCAGCAGTTCAACTATGTTTTCTTCTCCAACAACAACAACGCGGCGACTGAGACACCGCTCGTGGATACGCTGTTTGTTTTTGGCGATGTGTTTAACGTCGCCGCCGGTCTCCGCGAAGCCGGACAGCCTCAGGGAAGTCACCGACGGGAACTGGGAGGACATCCTGTCGGGAGAATGGATGATTGAATTGTCGGTACACTTGCTATCGGCTAACTAGCTCGCTAGCCGAGTCGGTTAGCTTCAGTAGCGATTCTTTTTTTAATCTCGCAGAAAACGATTTTCCTGTGCATGTTCTGATTTAACTTGTAATTTGCTCGTTTTGTATGATTATGATATCTCCTGTGACTAAAAAAAAAAATATATATTTAAATTTCTAAGCTGTTTTATCCCGAAGCCTTATCTGTGAAATGTTACACCTCGCAGCTACGCACCCTGGTGTCCGGCGTGCCAGCAGCTGCAGCCGGCGTGGAAGGAGTTTGCGGACTGGGGGGAGGACATGGGGGTCAACATAGCCAAGGTGGACGTGACAGATCAACCCGGTAGGCCCTGAATGACCTTCTCTAATGACTGGCAGAAAGAAAAGGAAAAGCAAAAGAAGCTTTCGAGCCAGTGCAGCATATCGAAACTGAGCTGTATAGTCAGTGTTTTGACTTTTCTAATTGCAATGTTTTTGTAATAGTTGTCAGTCGATTTAAATTGATTTATATTGTGAGGTTTTTATTTTTATTTTTATTATTATTTAGACAATGCAGTGAATAATGTTTGCATCAAATTAAGATTTTTTTTTATTTTTTTTTTTACAATAATTAGAATAAAATAGAATAACTTTATTGATCCCAAACTGGGAAATTGTGGCGTTACAGCAGCAGGTTATCCAACACACAATATGAGTAAAAAAGAACACAATGTTAGCAAATCTAAACACAATTATAATATTAACTACAAAGTAAAAGATATAAAAAAATAAGAAAGTGAATATATACAACCAGGATTTAACTAAGCATTACTACTAATTAGCGTCTTTTTGCTCAGTACATTCTATAAGGAGGGTCGTGGAGCTGCATGCATTTGCATTGGCATGTTGGGGAAAAAAGTTCAGTTAAGTTTACTACATTTCACAGCACACAGAAAGAAGTAATAATAGGAAAATATAAATGCATTTGATCCTTCCATTAATGCTTACACCAGTACTTAGACTTTCAGGATAACGCCCGTTACAGTTTAGTATCTTTTGATTTTTCAATTCCCAGTCGTGTGGTCGTGACTGATGCACATTTAAAACCAGTCTTAACCATAACTGAGTAAATCTGTCCATTTGGATATAAAGCGAGAGGGTACATTCTCCATAACATAGATTTCATTAACTTTATCCTTTACTCCTCTGATGCGGGCGTTCAGGATGCAGTCAGTTTCTAGTTGTGGTCTTCTTACCTGCAGATATTAAGATATAAAGGAGATATTTCTAATATTTTTTTCTACTCACAGTGAGCATTATCACATTTTTTGAAACACTTCTCAGTAAAACGCTATTATACAACAAAAAAACGACCTAAAAATAGCCTCAAAGTTGAGTGAGCGTCTCTCAACTTCAATGAAAACCTTCATCATTGCTATGAAGAAAGTGGGATTTATTTGCATAACTTTAGACATTTTGGACTAGTAGCCACGGACACAGTTTGCAGTTTTCACTAAAGATACTCCTGCAATTCAGGTGTAAAAATAAAAACACTTACAGTTTCAGTTACAAAGGCCATTCCAAAACGAGTTAATGAGTTGCATATCTATTCAGAGAGAGAAAAATCTTCATATTTGTGGATGAAATGAATATGTTTTGCTAATCCTCAAAGCTTTCAGGTGCCTAAGTGTCTGCATTACATCATTCAGGGACAGTTACTTTAGTAATGGTAAGGAACGTATGACAGAATCTCTTGCATTCAATGAAATGACGTAAACACAAAGTATTTACTTTCATGTCATACTCTTGTCTGTTGCTTTGCCAATGACTTGTTGGATGTTAGAAAACAGTTAATTGAGGTTTGGAGGCATTACATTTCAGTCAAAAGACAACAGTTCATTTGTCATTTTGTTGAATTGTCTTGCATGTCCTGACAGCTTGCTCATTCAGTGGGACACTGCTTGTGTAAAAACATACTTACAGACTTTAGCAGAGGAGTGCTGCTTCATTTTTTGTTTTGTGTTTATTTTTCTGTATAGAATATAAATGAATGTGTTGCTCAGTGGGTTTTTGTAGCAGCTGCCAGACTTTAAGAGAGTCGGTCTGCCAAGTCTGAAATTGTTTTCAGTTAAGTTATGAGTCAAACGTCTTCTTCTTGCACACTAACAGTTGTCATCTCCTCTGTCCGTTAGGTCTGAGTGGGCGATTCATCATCACTTCACTTCCTACTATTTACCAGTAAGTTATTTAGTGGTTTTGTTGTTTCCGCTTTCTTGTTGGCTGGTTGCACCATTCAAAATAGAACATTCTAGTGGGTTGAGCTAATCTCATGTGTATTCACATTACTTCGATTATGACAGGAAAAGTGTTTCTGAACCAGAGAAAATAAGAACAAATACGTATGTGTTCAGTTATACCAGTGGCCTTCTCATTAATGCAGACTGACAAACACCAAGTCCATGAGATTTTTAATACAGAAAACAACTTCAAGAAAAGTATTCAAACTAATGTCACAACTGTTTTGTTCAGCTCAGTTGGGGGGATCTGGTGACAGAACATATTAATCAATGGTGCACACGTTTCTACAGCTGTGCAGATACGTTTAAACACTTCCTCCTTTCAGGTCTGCAGGACTTTTTTGACAGCCTGAATAAGGTTTGAAAATGTTGTGTTTCAGCTGCAAGGACGGCGTCTTCAGGAAGTATCAAGGAGCTCGCACTAAAGAGGACTTCCTCAGCTTTGTCGATGAGCAGAAATGGAAAGCAGTTGAGCCAGTCTCCTCCTGGCTCGGGCCATCTTCATTTCTGTGAGTTTATAAAAACCATGGTGGTGTTTACATGTGGTGGTAGGGGGGCCGCTTTTTTAACTACTTCTTCAAAAAAAAATACGATTATTGTTTGGGCTGCAAATTAGTCACATTGTTATTTCAATATGAGCATTTAAGGGATTGCAAAAGCCGTAAGCTGTAAACAAGCAATGTTTCCTCCCCCTGTGTTTGTACATTTTCATCCACGGGATGGAGGTCTGCTTAATGTCCCTTGTTTCGCATAATTTTTATGCAGTCGGATAAAGCTCAAGGTAGCTATCAGCTTCCATCAGCTTAAAAGGAGACAGTTTAGTCTTGGAAAAAAAGCATCCTGGTTTTGTTTTGGATTTAAGTGGGACATGTTGCAAACACTCGTGTTGTTTAAGACATGATGGACTGCAGAAAGACAAAAACCCGTGAGTCATAGCTAATATGCACACCAAACATACTGTACATTTAGTTAGTTTATAACACTTAATATGTCGTTATTGCAATGTTCTATATTATCACACAATCCATTAGTTCTCATATCCTGCAGGCCAAACTATTATACATTAATATCCCAAATAAGCCTCCCTTGTAGTCAGTGTTTTCACATTGATATCACTCAGCTCTCTGGATTCAGCATTTTTTTTCTTTTTTTAGCTCCTCATCACTGTGACAGTTTCATATCCTTAAAAGATAAAGGAACATCATTCTCTTGTTTGTTCTATTCTGAGTGTCTTCCTGTTGGTCTAAAATCAGAACAACAACCACTCCAATTCCATCCTCATTATGTTTTTGTGTTGAGGCCTTGTTGTGACGTTACAGTTTGATAAATCCTTGCTGTCTTTTCCTCCTCTTTTCTGCAGAATGAATTCAATGTCTGCTTTGTTCAAGCTCTCCATGTTCATCCGGGTGAGTGAGGTTTTCTCTCTTGTTGTAAGGTCAAATGATTTAGTTAATTGAAGAAGGTGTTAATCAGTGTAAAACGGCACGAGAAAACAGACTTGAATGTTGAATTAATGTTAAGAACATAAAAAAGATCCAGTTTTAAAGGATACAAGCATGACTCAAAAGACAGAACAAAATGTAGGTGACCTGACCTGTAATGCAAACTACACATATTGTTTTATATATATTGTAGTTCTGTCAGCCAGACGGTGAACGTAAGCATGAGTAAATATAAGGTTTATGTTTATCATAGAAAAGGGGGAATATCCAGTGAACAGTGTGACTTTTTGAGGCATTTATTTCATGTTGCTTTGGAGCAACAATGGAGCTCTCAGGCATCGAGGAGTAAGATGTATAAGGCCTTGGTTACACACATACTCTGACTAAGAGAAGGATTTACAGTAGAAGCATTTCTTTAAACAATGTAGTGGTTATTAATAAGAGTTAAGACAAAAATATACATAATACATTAAACTGTGTCCCTTTTTAGGAAATTACTTTCTGACCGTAACATTCAGCTATACCGTGATATACGTGTATACAAGTTTCTACAACAATGAGCATTTGTGGACTCTTGGTGGAGCCAAAAGACAGATCAATGAAAATATGCATTTAGTATTTAGTCTACAGCTTTAACCTAAATTTTACTGTGAATGTATTCTCTATAAACATTATATTTACTGCCAACATTTTCCTCATTGTTATTAATTAATCATTTTCAAAAAGTACTTAAAGGTTTTATATGCAGTTTTTTTGATCCAGCAGATGTCGCCCTTGAATAACAGCATGAAACCAAAACAACTCACGCTGCATTGTTGTGTTAGCATGCTAATGCTAGCGATCTTTATTATGATCGTATCTTCACACTGCATGTAAATTTACCTGAAATGAGCGTGATCTAGAAACACAGTTAAGCAGTGAGTACAGTATGTTATCCTTCTTTTCTCCTAGTCCCTCAATTAAACAACTTTTATACACAAGGGGATGAGTCGCCCGGCCGTCCTGGCGATGTAAAGAAACTGAAGATAGAACTCGGAAAACATCACAGACAGTGGGACTCGGGTGTTACACCCATTGTAGACAGTCATGACTCACAGAGTTATTTTCAGAGGATATACTTGATTTTTATTACATTTAAGTGTGAAAAATCGCATATAAAGCCTTTATTAAAGAGCCCATATTCTGCCCTTTTTGGGGTTCGTATATTTAATCTATGTACCTACTTTTGTAGATTCACAATAGCTAAAGTCCAAAAAAAGTGTCTGTTTTCATGTACTGCTCCTCCTTGCTCCCTCTACGCTCTGAGTCCGTCAGCTGCACTCTGTTGAGCCCACACTGTTAGACCCCACGTGGGCCAAGTCTGCTCTGATTGGTCTGCTGATCCGCTCTGTCGTTATTGGTCAGTCAGCACGCTTCTCGGAAATTTCAACATGAGCTGCAGGGCTTGCCACAACGAGCCAATGAGCTTAGATCAGTGATCTCACACTGACAATGACGTCAGACTGACAAATTTTTATCGAGGGGGGCTAGAACCGAGCGTTACATGCAGCTAACGCTACAGCTAACAGGAGGACGTAGGAGAAGCCGCGTTTCCACAGACTTTGAATTTTTGCACGTAGATGTGCCTAAACATGCACAGGACACTTGGAAAACACACTAAAGAGCATGTAAAACCAGAAAAAGCATAATATGGGACCTTTAAAAGAAATCAAAACAAATAACGTGAAAGCAAATAAGTCAGTTTAACCATTTGACCATGCATTTGGATTGTTAAATGCACTAAATAAATGTCATATTTAATTTGATTTAATTTAATGACTTCCTTGGGCAAAGTTGTCCTTTCTTCTAACTTTTTTTGTGGTTTATTGCATTAAGTAAAACAGTTTTTACTCTCTTTTGTTTTCCAGCGTTGTCATAACTACATGACGGAGCAGCTGGGGATTCCTGTTTGGGGGTCTTACGTCATCTTTGGCCTGGCCACTCTGTTCTCTGGCCTTGCACTTGGGCTGGTGAGTTCTTGTGCATCACTAAGTTGTTGTGTTTTAATAAAAAGACTGCAGTGAAAGTTTCACCATCTTGTTGTTGATCTGCCTTTGCAGTTACTGGTCTTCATCGCAGACTTTGTCTTCCCCTCGCGTCGATTTTCTTCTCAGGATTACTACCAAAGTGAGTTTTTTTATAATAAAATGTTAATAAATGTTGTTTTATCTGCTGTAAAAACATAGTAAAGATAATAAACCTACACATACTTAGGTTTTAGTTTATACTGGCCCTCTGACTGTTGTTCTGAATGTTTATTCTGCAGAAAAACAGACGATGGAGCAGGCAAGATTATTCCAACGACAAGAGGCCGAACATGAGGCAGATGGCGAGGAAGACGACGACGAAGAAGAAGAAGAGGATGACGACAGCGATGTCTGGAGGACAAGGAGAGGGTCACCAGAGGGTCGCCCAGAATCAAAGGGACAAGGATTCTCTGATGAAGCTCTGAGGAAGAGGGTGGTGGGAAACCGTGAGGACGATGACGACGATGAGGAGGACACTTAAAGAATCACCCGTTCTCTACTCCTTTTGAGAAAATCAACGAGGAGTCTGCAAAGTCGGAGGAGTTTTGGTCCTGAGCAGCAGTGTTTACAGCAGGGAGCCCCTTAAGCCTAACCCCTTTAACTTCCCCCTTTTCCCTTTTCTCCTCCTCCTCCTCCCTCTCTGGGCCCCCTAGAAACACCTCGCCTCTTTGCTTCTCCTTCTCTTGTTTTTAAATGGGAGCGCTTTAGACTCTCACACTGCTCTCTCTGCCTGAGCAGAAGGCTCCAGCTGGAAAAAAGCAAAAACACTCCTGACACCTGTTTTCACTTGTTGAAACAAAAAGCATTGTCAAGGTTTAGGTATGAAGAGCGGCAGAGATGGATTTTGCAATGTTGTTTATGCTATGCATTGTTTTTTAAAGAAATGTGTGTTAATTATATGTTTATTATTCTGAGTGATTATAACAGGCTTTGGGTTACTTTGTACCGTTTGACTATTCAGCTTATCTATACAAACAGTTATAATACCTTGCATATATTTACAAACTGACAGTTCAGTTTAACACGATGCACACACACCATTCCACATTTAGCTGTTTGATGGATAAAAGAGTGGAAAGGAATGGCTCAAAGGTTTTTGTTATAATCCTCACAAACCGATAATTTGATTCTTTATGAGAAATACTTAATAAAAAAGCAACCAATGCATCAGTTTACACCATAGACTGTATATTGATAAACGCCTCCATCTCCTTCTGCTGTTGAAAAAAAAAAGAAGCCAATTTACCCTCACAGCGGGTGCTGACAGTGCGCTGATGTTGCAGTTGAAGCCAAGACACGTGCAGAAAGGAGCTGGCTGGTTGATCCTTGGAACTGATGTTAACCAAAGCACTCGTCAAAACGTACCTGTAAAATCGGTGCAGTCTACGGCAATACAGACTCTTGTTTCGGTTTGAAGCAGACGCCGTTTTATGAAAGTTGAAAAACCTTTGTGTTAGCGTTCGTCATGATTCCTCTGGCAGTTCTTCCTCTACCCTGCTAATCTGATACAGAGCGCTGTAGGAGATGCATTTGTCAACAGAGCTATCGAACATGACGTTGCATCTCCTCTTCTTCCACATAAAAAAACTTAATGAAACAAATGTTCTCAGAAAAGTGAAAACTTGGTCATAAATCAGATTCACAATATCGAACATTATTTTGTATTAACATGTATTTTCTATTTTGAAGTTTGCTCCCTGTGTCATCTGTTAACATGGAGGAGGTGCGGTTTATATAATTCTGGCTTCACTTTTCAGCAGCGCTTGTGCTGTCCATTCTTTATACAGTCTGTGGTTTACACAGTTTAGCCAAACAAACTCTGTTTTGATAAAGAGGTTTTGCTCATTATAACTGCAATGCTTCAATTAGTGCTCCCTGGCTGCACTGGCTCCTTTTGCTCCAATACTTCCAATTGTAGAAACCTTTATTGGTAATTGCTTCACAATTAAAGCCCATAGACCACTGCACCAGTTGAGCAGTTGTAGGAAGGATGTGTTGTGATTTGCAGTGACTTCATTCAGCTCTGCTACAGTGTGTCAGGAGAGTCGACAGTAAAGAAATGATGATCTGAATTAGATAAGTCCCATAAATCTTGATTAAGTGTCTGACATACATTTCAGTATGAAGCAGTGGCTTATAAAAAGAGGTGGATGTAGTGTTCTGGGTTTTTTAATGTGAAAGAACTTGAAATGTTTCAACCTGCATTTCTTTAAATGGCCAGCAGGAGGGTGAACATGCTGTTTGCAAAAAAGTGTTGGATTCAATAGAAGACCCCTCTTTTCACTTGACTTATTACATCAGTATATTCTTCTTTTTCCCTGAAGTTTTCTGTTCTTCATTGATAGTTTAATGTTTTCTCCAATCGAGCATGATTTTCATTTGTACATTGAGGTCTTGTTGACAGAAAATTGTGCACATTTTGCTTCTGATGTCAAAACCAACCTTTAGGCTTCAAAACAGTGTCCCACCCCCCAAAAAACTCAAATATAACTAAGTTTATTTGTCTGATTTCTTTACAGAAATATGAATCATTAACCTAATTAAAAAAACAACAACATGCACCTGACCTTGAACCTTGAAATAAGATTGAGTTACCTTGACTCGTCAGGTGAATGTGGCTTATATTGAGCACATGGAGATGTTTTTCATTGAATCCGACAAATACACTCTGTAATATTTGAGATTTTGCAGTGCACAAACCAATGTGTGATGTCACAGCTGGGAAATCCAAATGTACAGTCTTTGGTGTTGGAGGCCTTTTTGAATCCAGTGTTAGAATGGCCAACTCCACCATAGAAAGTATTTTAATAAACATTTCAATTTCAGAAAAAGGAAACAGACCTCAAATTGTTTAAACAAATTCAGGGTTTGATTTAGTTAAAGTCTTAAGGATTATAACTTAAACACAGGACACAGAGGTTAAAATCTATTTTTAGTTCTTACCCTGAGTGTGTGTTAAGTGTGCATCGTGTCTGCACAGGTACGTACGGGGCAGGAACCCTTCTCAAAGCATCTGTGCTCTGCTCAGTAATCACACCAAAGCTTTGACTGCTGCGTTCTCAACAGTCTGCAGAAAAGTAAACCACGCTAAGAAGATGCTTATTTCTATTCACTCCCAATAAGACGCCTGGTGAATGTTGTTCTGTAGATACTGTATGACTCCATTATGTTCTCACAAAATCAACCACTGAGATGTAAAACGTTATTTTTTGTTTCTTATATTTACGTGTGTTTCTCCTCATTGTCAAACAATGTCTTCTTAAAAGGTCGTATTGACGTGTGGCATATCTGTCCTGATGCTGCTCTGCTTTGTTGGAACAGTACGAGGACTTAAATGAACAAAGGGAGGTTTACTTTTATCCTACTGTAATCTTGTTTTAACCCCTTTCAAACAGTATTTCATTTTGTACACCAGAACTTCTGAGACTAATTTCTCCTTTAATGAGTGCAGTTTTTGTGATGTGGTTGCTGGCACTTTCTGCATATATTTCATAGAGTAGAAGGGCAGCCTGTGTCTGTGTCTGTCTGAGCTGTGTGTGTGTGTGTGTGTGTGTGAGAGAGAGAGAGAGAGACATGTTTTCAATGCTCATTTCATTGTTTATTTTATTGGACTTAAAGATGACTGGAGTAGATGTTTTTCTTTCTGCTATTCTCTATTCTACAAAAAGTGAATAACTAATTAAATAACTGGATGAAACCGGTTGCCTTTTTTACCTGTCCACCCTGAAAGGCTTGTAGCATTCACTCTGAGCTTCTTCTTTGAACATTTTGTTGAATAAAGATTGAACTCTGGAAACTGTATCTCACATCAGCTGCTTTTCTTTCTTGCTACCGAAAGCTGACTCGTACAAATATCAACTTTATTCATCAGTGAACAAGACACAACAGCTGCTAGCAACGCAAACATTTTTTATTTATATTTGGGACACCTGGAAAACACTGAAATAAAGAAATTTAAATTATTTGTGACAATGCTTTAAAAAAAAAAAAATTAGTTGAACCATAGCAGCTGTGGCAGATCAAATCCTGTTATAATTAACAATATAATAATATTAAAAAGATGTTTTACATAAAAGTAAAGTAATTGAGAAACTGGTCCATATGACTGTCTCTATCTGATAATGATGTTAACACAGATTAACAACCAGCGTTCCCAAACTAGAGGCTGGATTCTTACAAATGGCCAATTTAAAAAAGGAATGAAGGAAAACCACAATTTCCCCAAAAAATATTCATAAAGTATTGGGACTTCCTTCAAATTGTTTATTTTAGATAAAACATGTTTTCATTAGGCCTATTTATTGTCTTTTTAGTTGCTGAGTACTCAAGGAACTGTCAAATTATCACAATTTTTTCAGATTTTCTATGTTTTACTTGACTGTAACCAAGGAGGGCATTTTAAAATCAACTGAGCCTCCCACCCTGGTATTATAGGAAAATATCCCTATATTCAAAACTGGAATTAGGCCTTACACTAGCCTTGTGGGATCAACAGGTTAAAGACAGGTGCCAAATCAAACTGCTATTGTTTGGAGATTCAACCAAAAAGGGGTTTAGCTTATTTAGATCCAAACTCAGCTGATGGAGTCTCTACAGTACCAAAATCATTTACTTCCTGAAGTTCTGCAAGGTAAGTGTTATGACCTTTAATTGTTTAGCCTATGTTGTTTGTTAGCTTATTAGCCAGTAGCTTACAGTGGCTGAGAAGTATTTTAGTGGTTGTGAAATAAAGAGCTTTAATATCTGCTTTGAAGTTACAGATTTTGGTTGATGTTGTTGATGTACTTATCTGAAGGAAAAAGCATCAAGTACTGGCTGACATTTACATAAAAAACTCACTTTGTCTGCTAGTAAAACTTTCCCTATGCTGGAGGTTTCCAGTTTCTCAACCTTTTAGTGATTGGCTTTCCATTTTGTTACATAGAAAATCCAGCTCAACCAGGTATTTTTGAATCGTGGAGTGTACAGAAATATCTCCATGCAATAAAAGTATCTAATGACAAACTTAAATAGTGCTTAATTTAGAGGGGACATCTCTTTGGTTGACTGTGTACGACTCAGAGATATGAAATTAACTTAATAAGGACAATGCAGTTAACGTAGTTTTTACAACAATATGACAATACAAAATTTCTACAAACCACTGTAAATGAAATTTAAGATACAACAGTTAAAAATGGGTAAAGCTGTGATTTGCTTTTAGAAAGCATTTTGACTTTCTTGCAAAAGCCTTCAAATCTGGAATACATTTTCAGGACTGGTTGTATAATGATGAAAGGTTTCTGATTGTAAAGGGTGAAGTTTGAGCCCATACTGTCTTATAACTATAGAAATGAGAAAAAATCATTGAATGCATGAACACCTTGGCTGCAGTGGTCGGCGTATACTGAAGTGTCTAATTAATTTAAAACAATTAAGGTTCTTGTTTTTGTTTATTTGAAAATTCAAGGGAAAAATATTTTAAAAGAAAATACAAAAATAACAATAAATTTGAATAAGTTCCAGTCCTTGCCAGCAGATGTCACTGTTGCACTCTTTTGGGGGTTATTTCTAAATCATCTGCAAGGAACGCCTATTCATTTTATAGGCCACTACCTTTAAACTCCAAGGCAATTCAAAGTAGGGTTGTCACAATATGAGAATTTAAACTTTGATATGTAACTAGTAAACATTAAATTATTACTTGTTCCGGTAACACAGCAACAAACAAATAAAAGTCCTAAGTACCCATTGTTGCGTACATTCTTAATAACATTATCAATCCATGCATCAAGAAGTTGTCAGTGTATTTGTGCTCTCTCTCTCTCTCTCTTGTTGGCAGTAGCTTTGGGTTGAAGGTTTGAGGTTTTCTTTTTAAGATTTGGCTATCGATCATTAAAATAAAGTAGATTGCATTGTTTCAAATCACGTGATATCAAAGTATTGAAGACGCTGACAACCTTAATTGCAAGTGTTTTACCAAAAACATATGCATTCAGAAGAGAAACAGCTGGCCATATAGAAATACACAAAATAGTAGATGTATTTAAAGTGTAAAAAAAAGTGAAAATAAGAAGGCAGTTCAAGATAAAGGCTAAAAGCAGTAGTGGAAATCCATTTCAGGGCACTACACTTTGTGGAGCAGGTGACATGAACAGACTGTAACATTTGAAAAAGTCCTTGTAGCAAATGAAAAGCTACAGTTCAAATTTCCTCCAGCTCGTTCTCCTGAGTGCTTCTCATTTCCTTTGTGAGTGTTACCTCCACCCTCCTGAGTGGTTTTAGTCCCCCTGGATTAAGAGGGGAGCTGGTCTCTGGAGTGGATCTCTAATCAGTGTTGTCGTTGCAGCTCGGGTTGCCTTCTGCATGCGCTCTGTTAACTTTAATTTGCCTGAGGCTGGAGGAGAAGGAGGAAGGTGTTGGAAGGGATTCCACCTGCTGTGTGCCTCTTGTGATGAGTCTGTGCAGTGAGATTGTATTGTGTGCACATGCAAAACACCTGGCAGATGCTTTACGAAAGATTCCTTCACACTCAACTGAAGCCCCCCCCCCACTGGGTTTTGATTTATCGGACACACTCTGAACTGGATGATCAGCCGGCTGTTTTATCGCTCGGCAAGTGTAAAATGAATGCAGATGGCAGCGCTACTGGTTTGGTGCTTTCACTTCTTGTTCATTTAGCTCACTCTGGTCCATAAGGTTTTCTATTGTCCTTGATTTCACTTTAACAGGAACGTTTTCAAACAACTCTTGTAAAGGAGGTTTGCTGGAGTTCTGTATAAGTATACCAATATAGATGCATGTGGGGGAAACTGTACATCAATTCAGTTAAATTTACTTTGCCAGTAAGGTGTTGAGTGTCAGTCTGAGAAACAGCATGAAGTTATCCACAGCCAGTAAAAGTAATGTCTTCTGAGGTTCTCAGTGAGTGGAGGAATATCCGGATCCTTTAGGTGAAAGTCGCAAAACACAATGAAAAATAATATATATAGTAAAGTTGAAGGTTTTGTACTATATTGTAGACCTTTGAAACTACTATTTAAAGTTGGAAAAGTTACATATTATTCTTTCGAAATGCAATGTTATTAAGATTCATTACATGGTTCATATATGAATAATCTTGAAAGAAAACTCACAATTCCAAATGAGTAAAGTGGACAAAATGTACAATATTTGCCCCTGAAATGTAGTGTTTAGTGAAGTAGAGGCAGATGGCGATGGGAAAGTAAACTACATTAACATGGACCTACAAGACCTTATCGAATGCATGTTCAGTACTGTTTGTCGTACAGAGTAGACCTGAGTCTCTCCTGGAAGTTTCTCTTTATCTGTCCTGTTTCAACCTGAGTCACTTTTTCCACCTCAGTGGCGAGCAGCCGACCACAAACACAAACAGAAACTTTAAAGCTCCGGTTTCCCGAGCGCTTCTCTATCCTGTTTCCAGTCTTGAAATCCATCTGATCCTCCTCATAAATCAAATTATTTCCATTCAGGCAACTACATTTTTTGTTAACTCCCATAATGAAAATGGGATAATTCTCCTACAGATGATAAATCATATTTAATGTGATTAGCCAAGTGTCTTTTTTGTCTTATAAAGTTTATTGTATGAAAATCAAGGGTCTCTTCAGCATTCAGGACAAGGGAGAAGGACTTTTTGGTACAGAGGTCTTTCTTTAATTTAATTCCCCGGGCCGGCAGCCAGGAGGGTTTTTGCCCAAACCACAAAAATCCACGCGGAAAACAAGGCACTGTTATATGATCCTCCTGACTGGCTGAGCTGCTGGACGCCAGCGAGGTGCGAGAGTGCGAATTCAACAAGGCCACACTTGTTCTCTGAGCTGCCGTGTCCCCTCTGTGTCCTCCATGTGGTCAGACCATTAAATCCTATAAAGAAGATGAAGAGATTGAGATTCCTCTGTTTGGCCTCGTAATGATGATTTATTCATTAATCTAAAATTCTGTAGGAGATGATCAGCAGGCTGGAACAATGGGGCTGCTATTGTTTTATTTTTTTTCTTTGCTCTCTCTGCCAGATTTCTGTCTGCCTTCCCTCTTACTAAATCCCCAATTCTCATGTACCAAAATACACAACATTTATCACACATCTGTCAGTTTGTAGGGGTGTGCATCATTCTCAGACAACACCATTTGGTTTTTTCTCCAGTTATGATACTATTCAGGGATGACTCTATGAAAATATAGAACGCTTCGGTGCAATTCTATTTGTTTTGTTACCGTTCCAGACTTTACTGACATGAGAAAAAAAATATTATAGCCTTTGTGTCATTTCAAAATAACATGTCTTTGTGTTTATTTATTTTCCGTCACATGAGGATTATTCTGTTTTCCAAGTAGATTGTAGACATTTTAACTCACCACTTTTACCTTTCTGGGTAATTTGCGTGTCTGCAGCATGGGCGCCATATTGTAAATATAACTATTTCTATGTTTAGCCAACATTTGTCCATTAAGCCGTTACAGATCCATGAGTGTATGACTGTTTTAGAGAGACACATAGTTTCCCTGTGATTACAGCTCAACTGAGTGATTTTTTTTTTTTCTCCCCAAAAAAAGTCACCCACTGCCCACCAGTATTTACATCACTTCCTTACAGGCAGCATAATCACAAAGTGGCTCAAACAGAAATAAAAACAGAACACAGTTTGTTGTTGTGCCGCCCCTCCAGTCTCCAGCAGGTAGGCTATGTTTTCCAGGAAACCATTGTGGACATGCCTGAGAGCAAACCCTGCTAAGGTCTTTCTTTCACTGTATGCAGAGACTAAAATAGAAACACACGCTCCCTTAGGTATAAACACAGG